TCCCTCAAAAATCTGTTCTTGAAACTTGGTACATTACTAAGTATAAGCCAAATTTCTAGCAACTTATATTGCTATGAATGTGCATCAAAGTGTCATCATTAAAATACATATGGAAAATGCATTAAATTTCTTTATAGACGTTTGATTGTGATAAATGTGAGAAAAAATTCAAACATAATGTTACCCTGCAAAAACATTTACAACAAAAACATGGCATAATTAAAAAAAAACAAAACACTGAAGGTAAGACAGTAAAATGCCAAAAATGTGAAAAGACATTTACTCTTAAATCAAATATGGTTCGACATATGAAGACACATACAACAAGAGATGATGAATACAATTGTTTACAAGTAATTTTTAAAATAAATATTTACATTTACATTAAATATTAAAACTAAATTAGAATTTTTAAAATACAAAATAAGTAAAGGTTCAGAGGTCTACTTATAAGAAATTATTAATAAAACTAATCTATAATTGGTTTAGAGTCAAATTCCTACCGGTTATGAGTATTCCATGGTGGAATATACAGGTTCAGATGATAATAAATTTATAGCAACATTTATTATACATAAATTTGGAGTTGATGACATTGATCCTTGGATTATGGCCATAAGAAATGAAAATAAAGTTACATATTTGACATCTAGTGTGCGAAAAACAGATAGATCAGATATTATTTTTAAGGTATTAATAATAAATGTGTGTGTATAAATACATTTTATTATTTTTTGTTGAATTTTAAATAGAAACGATACAGATGTCATCACAACACAAGACCAAAGGCTAATTCAAATCCAAGTGAAAAGCATTTCGACTGTAAAGCGACATTGGGTATACAAATATTAAAAGACGAAGATAATGATTTGTTGTCTGAGCATATTACGTTGTAAGTTCAATTAATAAACAAATGTATTTGAATTAATTTTTATTTATAATCTAGGAACGATGACAATTCTTCATCCAATAGTTTCAAAACATATGCCAGGGTTCTGTTGAAACACACCCATAACCACCATATTTTAAGGGCTGATGTCATGAAACACAGAATACCATCTGAGGAAATAAAAGCCAAGTTTTTGAAATTATTTGAGGAAGGTAAAACGCCATCAAAAGCGCTATTTATTTTTAAAACTCAGTTGAGAACTGAAAAAGGTAATAATTACTATATATGTGCTGGTGACCGTGGAGAACTGCCTGATCCACAATGGGTTTATTATCTATATTACAAAACCTTTAAAAAACATTTTGGCTTTTCACATGGTGAGCAAATGATTTCATCTCTAAAGGATGCAATACAAGAATATAATACTGAATGCATGTCTGACACAGCTGCTATGAAAGAACTTGAGAATGGAAACTTTGCCATAGCAATAGTCACTCCTTTAATGAGCAGAATTAGTTGCGAATTAAATGAATGTGGAGAAATTCTTTTTATAGATGCTTCAGCAAATATGGACAGGTATGGTTGTAAAGTCTTCATGATTTATACAAATAGTTGTGCTGGAGGTATACCTGTAGGAACACTAATATTAACAAGTGAATCCACATTAGTTATTTCTGAAGGATTAAAGCTTTGGAAACAATTATTTATACCTAAATCACTGGCAGGTAGAGGTACAAAAGGTCCAAAGATTTTTATGTCTGATGACTCGGCGGCTGAAAGAAGTGCATTGCATTCAGTTTTTCCTGAATCAATACTTTTACTTTGTATTTTTCACGTTCTACAAGCTACTTGGAGGTATCTATGGGATTCAAACCACGGTGTACCTCTTCATCATCGCTATACCTTATATTCTATAATAAAAGAAATGATATATTCAAAAAATGAAGAAGAACTTGCAAGTACATTTAATAAGGCACTTCAACAAACATTAGTTAAAACATACCCAATATTTATAACATATTTAACCAATTTATACCAAAGGAAAGAGCAGTGGGCATTATGTTTTAGGAAAGGCTTGATAACCAGAGGTCAAAATACGAATAATATAAGCGAGGCTGGCGTGAAAATTGTTAAGGACGTCATACTGGAAAGAACCAAGGCGTATTCTCCAGTACAATTATTTTTTTTCATAGTCAATGACCTAGATGCTTTCTATGAAATGAAGCTTTTAGATGTAGCAGCTAATAGACCAGCTCAATACCTGAAAAACAAATTTATTATTACAAATAATCAAAAAAACAATTTAGAGTATAAAATAATTGATAATAATACATTACTATATGAGGTACGAAATAAAAAAAAAAATACACAATATAATGTCGACTTAGACCTTGGAATGTGCTCATGTCCGCAGGGAGATACTGGATACCCCTGTAAACATCAAATTTATGTAGCGCAAGATTTAAATTTAAATTTGAGTGTTTGTTTACCGACTACTGAAGAATTTAGGAAAAAACTCCACACAATAGCTTCTGGAAGTTCAGACATTGAGAATGGTTGGTATGGCTCGGTTAATGATAATGACTGTCAAACAAAGGTAGATTTAGTTCCTTTAAATACAGAAAACACAGTGGATAATAAAATAAAAAATGCGGCAATAATTACTACACACAATGAATTTGGAGTTACTGAATTATTAGAATCAGCCAACAACGATTTTGACAAAGCTTATGATTCTTTCAATGAAGTCATTGAAAAAATGAAACAGTCAATTCTATCTGACAAAACATACTTCTTACCATCTATGAATGCATTTGTAAATTCATACAATAAAAGTGTCAAAACCGATGCTAGTCTTTCTTCTGCATTGTCAACATTCGGTAGGTATTCTGGTTTAGATGTAAGTTCAAAAAAACCTAAATTAGCAGGCAATAAACAAATTGGAACACAGCCAACTGCAAGATCAAGAAGAAAAACACAAATTAAAGGACGAAAAAATTTAACTGCAGGAAGAACTCCTAAATGGAAAAAAGCTCCAGAACATGGGTATGTAAAAGGGCAAATAATATCAAGTGGATTACCCAAAGTCAAACGCAAATCGAAAGCACCACATTCCTTGGCATATTGTGTTGAAAATAATAAAGCATTAGGAGGTACACACAGTTCAAAATAGCTTGTTACTTTATGTTTTTTTTGTAAATATATATTATTTTTTATTTGACACATTATGCCACAACATTTAGTTTTTTATACTATTTTTTGTGAGTATAATAATTAATATTATTTGAAAATTTTTAGATTTAAAGTAAACGCAGAATATATTGGTGTTACAAATCTGTAGGTTTTTTTTTAGTTTTTTAGTTTTTTATGTAAGTAAATACTTTTTTACCTGCTTTTTTTATACTTATAACATTGGACGTAAATATTTAAACAAAAATTATATTTATATTATATATTAAATTTATACTAAAATTATTTTAATAAAGTAATTACTAATTTTCACAAGTGTATGTACTGACTAGTGAAGGCGGTATTCACTATTCATTATAAAGTAACTATTTACAAAGTACCCTAAATCAATCTAGTATAATAATATCTAATATTTAATAAATGTCATAATTACAATAAATTAACTTACATACATTTTTTCCTTAATTAATAACATCCATATTCACTTCCAAAAATTAATAATAATGTTATATAATAATGTTATATAATAATGTTAATAATAATGTTATATAATACATTAATACCTACCTAAGTTGTTGTTGTTAGTTTTGCTATTTTCTTCTTTGTCTTATTTAGTATTACAAAAATTCACAATAAATATAAATGAAAAATGTAAATAAAAATATAATATCAGTCTTTCAAAAAATATGATAAAAATGATTGATAACACTGATGAAATTTGATCAATGATAAGGAGAAAAGTAAAATGACTAAACGTAGCATGTTTTCAAATTTCGCGTACAGGGTAGTTGTTCGAAAAATGATAAGAATGTCGAGTACGATAATTCTGAAATGTTGGCATTACCAACATAATATTTTTTTTTTTTAAATAGGAAATAATTTGACATTTTAAATATGTGCTGCACTGAATAATTCGTTAGCTATTATTTATTACATAACACGGTCTTCTAAGACCCGAAGACCGTGTTACATAATAACAATTATTGAACAAGCTATTTTTATACACTTTTCTTAAGTTCGGTTTCACGTCCGTCTGTGATCAAATCTTGAGCGCTCGATTTGAGGCACTTTTTGAAGATGAAAAATTCTGAAAATTGGTATAGACCTTGGTTTTTGATGACAATACAATAATCCGTAAAAAAAAATTTTTTAACTAAAAAGTAGAAAATAAAAAATAAAAAATTTTTTTTTAAAAAACACACTTTTCTAAAAAAACAAAAAAATAATTAAAAATTTAAAAGTGTGTGGCGCTCTTACACTTGACATATTATACCACACACTTTTAAATTTTTAATTATTTTTTTGTTTTTTTAGAAAAGTGTGTTTTTTAAAAAAAATTTTTTATTAACTAATATTGTTCTTAACTCTTTAAATAGTCCTATTAGCTATTGCCCCCCCCCCCCCCCCCACGAAATGCTAAGAAAATTTAAAAATAATTTTAATGGTCTATGATAGTCGCTCAAAAAGTCTTAAATTGTATTTAAAATATTTAAAAATGTACTAATGTAGGATTAAACTTCGTCCTCATATGTTGCCAAGCCATTTCTTCCGTTAATGTCTGAATTTCAGATACCCGATTTGCCACAAAGCTGGTGCTCCATTCACTGGAGATTCCTCGGATCCATGTTAACGCAACTGATGAATCTGTCCAACATGTACAACAATTTGGGCTTACATTTAATGTCTTTCTCGCTTTAGACATTAATATTGCCAACACATGAGCACTACATGTCTACATAGTTCCATGTCTAGGAATTGACAATGCCTTTAGAGGTGCTACTCGAGATCAGAAGATGACATGTGAAAGTATTGTCCTGTTGTAATTGTCTTACATAAATGCACGCTCCATATGCGTTCATGGAGGCGTATCAAAACCCATGTAATTCAAATTTGTTGCATGGATGATCATTCACCTTGCGCACTACCTTGAGCTGGTCAACCTGACAAAGTTAATTTGTGTAATTATGCCAGCGTTGAGACATGTCAGCTGGAAGAACAGTGTCCCAATCAAGCTGTAGTTGCCATAATTGCTGAAAAATATTTTTCCACTAATCAGAATTGGTACCAGAAATCCCAATAGATCAAAAACACGATTTAAGTCTGCCAGTAATGTGCGTTTGGTGAATAACTGTCCCTTTGCATGTGGCGACACCTTAAACAGAAGTTGATCACCTCTTGGGTTCCATACTAGTCCAAGTATTTTGGTTGTATCATTGTCTTTCAACTCAAGCATGACATGAGAATCGTCGTTTGTGTTTGGTATGTCATCCGATTAGTTGCGGACTATTTGCACACCACTTATGAAGAGTCATTCCTGCTGACTGGAGTATCATGGTGACTTCTCTTTGGATTTCTTGACATATGCTTATTGAATGAGGACCTGTTATTAGGTCGTCAACATAGAAATCTTGTGCGATTACTTGAGATGCTTGTGGATGTTTGGCTCCGCTTATGTTTGCAAGTTCTTGTAAACCCCGGGTAGCTTGGAAAGGAGCTGATGTCGTTCCATAAGTTACTGTGTTGAGTTGAAAATGTAGCAATTCCTTTTCCGGCGAATCTCTACATAGTATTCTTTGGTAGTTCCTATGTTCTTGGTGAATTAATATCTGTCTGTACATTTTCTCAATGTCTGCAGTCATGACAAATTTGTGCATTCTAAACCGTAATAGTATTGACAAATATAAACATCGTACTTTTATATTTCCTCCTCGTGAAAAAACAATTGTCTCGTTTATTATTACCTTTATTTGTTTTCATATAGTACCTACTTATGTAGATACTATTTTTAAATCATAATTAAAAAAACATTGATACTTATAAGAGGCAAGAACACGAACGTCGAATACAATATAATTCATTATAGCATCACCCTATATAATTGCACCAATGCGACAAGTTGTTACTATAATTGTTAATATTATGTGCGAAAACTGAGAGACGCGTGTTTACTACGTTTTTTTTAAAAAAAGTACATTATTATACAGACTTACAGACGCGGTGGTAGATCGTAGGTACCTATATAATATATATAATGTGTGTAGGTTTTCGAATATACCGTGCCCCGTCGTTCACGTTACATATACGTTTGGGCAATATTATAAAGGGGAATATGTATCCCTCATTCAAAAGTGCATGTTTCCGTTAAATTATAATATAAAATATAGATATGTTTTTGGCGTAAAATTGACTTAAATTTGACTTTTTCTTTTAAAATGCCTTAGTGACAACTTAAGTAATAAACTTTAATATTATATAGGTACCTATATTATATTATTTTTTTATAAAAAAATATAAAAGTTAAACGTAATAAAATTTCCTATGCCTAAGTCTTTACGTGTTTATTATTTTTTTAATGCATTTTTACGATGTGCAACGAATAACGATATTGGGTGATATATACCTAATAACTATGTTTTTCAGTCGGACGGTGTAAAAAGAAACGATTTGCGAATAATTATTTTAACATTTTTTGCAGCCGTCGACTGTATACGCATCAGACAAAATACATATTTTCATAATAATATAATACTTATAATAAATACTTATTGTAATAGCACTTATTAAAAATAAATATATATTATACACAATATACATAATATACTCTATTATGGTACATAACATAAAATCACAACCAGTGTGGTATATATTATATAATATATTAATTTATATATATGTTACCGTCAATGTCGTAAATTCAGGTAATGATGATATTGACTAGCCAATTAATATAAAGCGGCCCCTAGACGATCAATAATATTGTCAATATTTGTATCAATAATATTGACGGAACCATATTGAAGCAAGTATTGATCGTTTAGAAGGATATTGATATGGATTGTCAATCATTGAGAGAGATTGATAGAAATTTTGATTGATGCTCATTGACGGGCAAGATTGACAGGACGTATTGAACGTCTAGAAGCGTTTATTGTCAATATTTCCGAAATTGTTATCATTTATCAGTCAGACAGCATGGCGGAACTATCGACACCGCTTGGCGACGAATCGGGTGGTGAGCGTGAGTTTTTAACACTTTTGATAACTTTATATCGTGATCATCCTGAACTATGGCAATTGAGATCAAAAGATTATTTCAATAAAAATAAAAAAGCTAAAGCACTCCAAACAATTGTGGATACTTTGAAGCCGTATAAATCTGATTTCACAGTAGAGAAATTAAAACAAAAAATTAATATATTGCGCACTAATTTTAACAAATGCTACAAGGCGATTGAAAATAAGAAACGGTCAGGTGCATCAGTGGACGATATTCCAGAACCCAACGTATGGTATTACAACGAACTGCTGTTTATCAAGGACCAAGTCGAGATAGCAGAAACTCAATCTTCCGAGGTTAGTAAACATCAAATATATTTTATTTATTTATGTGTATAATTATATTTTACGACCTCACTATTTCTATAAATGAAACTGGTATGATAAACAATCCACGCATGGCATATTCGATGGGCAGTCGTTGTTTTGTTGCGATAAGCTTTATTTTATTTTACACACATGACACAGTTGGATTATTGATTATTTTTACCATTATTGTTTACATATTGTATTTAATTTCCATTTACTTAATTTCGAATTTTTTTCCTACCTAATATATAATATTACATAATATTATAATAATAATAATAATAATAATATATAATATTTAATAATAATAATACATAATATAATAATAATAACATAATATTTAATAATGACTTATACAATATACCTGCTAAATTTAACAAATAATACAGAGGTACCTATATGGTTCTAAGTCAAATAATTGTTTTGCCACGGAACTGAGCCAGAAGAGTTGAAATACTCGCAAAAATCATCTCTTATTTTTTTTGCTTCAGCCGCTGAATTTCCTCTAGTTCTTTGAAGTTCTGCCACGTGCTGAGTTCCTTGTCTCCATGAACCTTCTTCTACTCTGCCAGTATCTTTGTTTTCGTAATCAACATCACCACGTTGCAAATAATATCCATTATTTCTTGTTGACAAGTAGTTGTGTAAATGACAGCAAGCCATCACTATTTTCCTAGCCTTGTGTGGTTCAAAATTAATATTTTTTTGGAATATTTTGAACCTCGATGTTAAAATTCCAAACGCATTTTCAACAATCCTGCGTGCTCGGGACAATCTATAATTAAAAATCCGTTTTTCATCCGTGAGTACTGCTCTGTTGTAAGGTTTCATGAAATTTGGCTGAAGTTGGAAAGCTTCGTCACCGACAAACACGTAAGGAAACGTTTTATTTGAGCCGGGTAATTCACGTGCATTAGGAATGTTTAATTGGTTCTGAGACAACTTTTGCCAAAATATCGTGTTCTTCAGAACTCCACCATCAGATATTCGTCCATTCGCTCCAACATCTACCATGATAAACTGATATTTCGCATTGACAATAGCCATGAGAACAATACTGAAAGTACTTTTGTAGTTGTAGTAATAAGAACCAGAATTGGGTGGTTTTTTAATCAATATATGTTTGCCATCTACACTACCAATGCAATTGTGAAAGTTCCAAAGTTCTTCAAAATTCTCAGCTAGTTGTTTCCAACCCACTTCAGTTTTTGGTACCTGAGTAAAAAAAAATCATTTTTTTTTTTTAGCATAATTTGAGTGAAGACTTACAGACACTGTCTACTGACCAGCCAATCCCTCTACCACCAAAGAAAAAAAAACCATCTTCAAAGGATTCAACAGAGGAGCTAGTTGGTTTAGCTACACAATATTTTAAAAAATCTGAAACTGAATCGGACTTCATAGCTAAGGGATGGTCTCTAAAGTTAACCAGACTGAATTCAGATCAAAGGTGTTTTGCGGAAAAAATAATTAATGATACTTTGTTTGAAGCAGAAATGGGCACATTAACGAGGCATGGAGTGGTTTTCTTAACGTCTTCACAATCTGTATTGACACCTTCGTCGTCCCAGACAACTACGAACATTAGATCCCCCTACTATTCGTCAAGCTGTGTATCATCATCTCCATCACCTACATCTTTACTTTATTCAAGACCTAGCTCTCCTCCGATTACACACATCACTCCTAATCACTATGTTTCTCCAGTAAATTATACTCCAATCCAAAACTCTGAAGATACCGTTCAAGAGGAAAATGTGGCAAGTTACTTGTCAAGATTTTCTTCGTTTTAAGTTAACAAACAATAGTTTTTTAGTTTTTATATTTTGAAATAAAAAAGGTTTTGATGTAATTCAAGTTGTATTTTTTATAGTAAATAATAATTTAAATATTGTAAAAGTTGTTTTTATATTTTAAAACGAAAAAGGTTTTGATTTTATTCAAGTTGTTTTTATACTTCATAATGATTATAATATGTTAATAATGATTTTAATATTGTAAAAGTTGTTTTTATATTTTAAAATGAAAAAGGTTTTGATTTTATTCAAGTTGTTTTTATACTTCATAATGATTATAATATGTTAATAATGATTTTAATATTGTAAAAGTTGTTTTTATATTTTAAAATGAAAAAGGTTTTGATTTTTGCTTGATAACCTCAAAAATAAAATAAGTACATACATACCTGTATATTATTTTTTAATGTTTCGATTATTGCATCAGAGGTTTCCATTATGATGCCTTCCAAAGTCTGAGGGGCAATAGCACACATAAACTTCAAATCTTCCAAATCCATGCCAGACGCTAGATATCTTAATGTCACAGAAAGTCTCTGACTTGCAGGGATTGCTTTACGCATAATAGTGTCTTGTTTTTCTATTTTGGGCCTAACTAGCTCAAGTAAAGTTTCAAACCCTTCTTGGTCCATTCGAAGAAAATTTTTGTAATCTTCTGGTTCTGTATCTCGAAGAACGTTTAGCAAATTTTCATGATTAAAACGACTTCGCAGCTTAAACCACTCTTTTGACCAGCGTCTAGTTCTTTTCTTTTTTTGTTTTCTCAATTTGAATATTGCCAAAGTCACAGCTAGAAACCCCATATCAGTATTGGAAACCATTTCAAAATATTTAAATTAACACTCCGAACACGACACGAATACTTTGAAATCCAGAATCGAATGAGTATTGACGGCTGTGTTTGACGTGCTGATTGAAGTACATTGACGCTGGTGTCAATCTAACTCGTCAATATTATTGACAATATTATTGATCGTCTAGGGGCCGCTTTACAATTTTGAAAATTTTAACTTCCTCCCTTATTTGATAAAACACTATCAACTTTCGATTTTCAAATGGCAATACCTATTTTCGATAACGAAAATCTATAAACATACTGAAAAAAAAAATTTTAACGTTTACAGAATTTAATTTGAGTAAGCCGTTTACGACTTATTAATGCTGAAATATTCGTTAAATTTACTGCTACTGGGCAATTTAACAACCCAACTGTAAAAACCAGAAGTCAAAACGATATTTTATCTCAATTTAACAATACCCATAACGGTAATAATCAATAATAACAAGATAGATAAACAATACTATAAGAAAAAAAAGTGTTCCATCATCACTCCCACCAGAATACCGAGTGTCAGTGAACGACTATAGCAGTATAGCCATCCGCGGCCTGCAGCAGCACGATTTAAGATAGTCTATCTTAAATCGTGGATGCACCATATGAAAACATTTGGGTTCCACTGATATAATACTCCGTTTCCAGTCCTGTATAATATACTATATTATAGTCCGTGGTTTTTATTTACTGTCTGGCGGCGCCAGTGTTGGGTAAGTTACTTTCAGGCACGGCGCCAAGGGGGGGCAAGGTGGGGCTCTAGCCCCCCCAGAAAACAGATCAGCCCCCTCGCCAGCCCCCCCACTGAAAAATATGTACGATATAATTAATGTTTGTTGTATACAGTTAAAAATATTTTTAGTTGACTTATTATTTTAAATATGTTTATGTTATTTGATTAACACAATACTATTGTGTAAGGAGTTGGTATTCGTACCTACCTACTTATATTAGTTTGGTAATTAGCATGACAAATTTCTTATTTAAAATAATTAAATAATTTATTCAATTTTCTTATTTTGTTATTTTTATAATCTTATTTGTCATGGTAATTAGTTCACATATTACTTGATAATTAATAAAAAAGGATTTCTTAAAGTATCTATGTTTTAATGTATATATGTGAACTATTTTAACCTCCAAAATTTAACAAAAAATATAAAGTAGGTACTTCAATAGTCAATACATACACTACTATGCAAATACCAATTTAAAAATGTATTGAATTAAAAATTTAAAATGTATTTGTTAAATATAAGGTAGGTAATCAAAAGTTTTTATTTAAAACAAATTGTATTCCTACTGATATCAGTGCAATTGTATATATTTTTGTTAACTTTTTCAATATTATAGGATTTTCAACCATTTACTGTATGGTGCATAAACAGATATTGTATAAAAAATCAATATTTAGCTCATAAAGAAATTATTATTTTTGTATATCATGTTATCATTATGAATATAGTTGTTGAAGGTCTTAGGTCTGTGATTAAACATTTTCTTACATATTACATAAGGTACAAAAAAAAATATTTGATATTATTCTTAAAATATTTTTAACTATTCAAAAGTTTGTAAATATTATATGTTTAGACGTTTAGAGCATACAATATAAAAGTATGTAATATTATATAGCTAATAGCTATATTATGTTATATGAAACGAAAATATTTATATTTCATTTAAATAACCTCAGCATTTGTTGAAACAATTTTAGCCCATGTAAAAAAAATATTTGCCCCACTCTGCCCCCCCTGGAAAAAAATTCTAGTGCCGTGCCTGGTTACTTTTCAAAAGTAATTAAGTTATTTTACTCGTTACTTAGAGATAAATGTAATTAAGTTACTTTACTCGTTACTCAAATAAAATTGTAATGAAATTACTTTACTTTTCAAATAGAAAAGTAACTCATTACTTTCTCGTTGCAAAAAAAAAAAATAATATTTTTTTTCTTCAAATTTCTTGGCAATTATCATTCTGCAGGCAATAATGTAACATTTTATAGAAACACATTACCTATGGTAAAAAGGTATAATTTGAAAAAGATGGACAATAAAAAAGATCTACAGTTAAATACATATTTAAATAACAACAGTAATTACTTATGAGTTATGACTATTAAAAAATAGTAGTTACAGTACTAACATAGATTAAAGATTAAGAATTATTTAGTTCAGTGCGTCTAGTCCGTAGACCGTTAATTGTAGACCGTTTCTAGAATGTTGACTGTTGTAGACTTGTAGTCGTAGTGTCGTTCAACTGTCGTAGTATATGGTAGTATTATACTCTTATTGTTATCTATGTACATTATACAGTAAGTTGTTCGTCGTAATTGTCAGTCGTCAAAGTGGCAGACAAGTTCAATGTATATTTAACGGTCATTCTGTTATAGACTCATACTACCTATTCTGTGCTGTAATAATATAATATTATACTCATACCAGTCATACCGAAACCGAAAACGAAAAGCCGAATTATTAAACTATCTGAAACTCTCAAATAATAGTTAATGCAGAATACAGATGACCAGTAAATTACGTGCTCTTTATCCACGTACCTGATAATTTAAACCAAAATGGAAAATTTTGAATCCATTATTCTTCGTTGGGTAAGTCGAATGTGATTGTTTTTATTTCTCCGTAAATCAAATTTTAACCGTTTGAATTAAGACAGGATTCATATTAATATACTGTTTGTCTCGGAACAATAGGTTCTCATTCTCGCGTAGCTAGACGCAATAACATTATAAATATGTTTTTTGTTACCTTACTGATATTTGTTCTGATTAGGCCCATGATTTATTTTTTTGCGTCAAGTAGTTATAATTGTTATACTCAAATTTTAATATTAATACCTGCCCAACTTTACCACAATATTGGTATAGAGGTATAATAATAAATTATTATATTATACTATCTACTGGTGTAGGTACTAAGTACTTATTAAAAATTCATACCTAATATTTTTGGCTACTAAAAACAGTGGGTATACACAAAATAGTTTATTTCATTTATAAGTTCAACCTCTTAAAATGCCATTAATAACTCGTTTAAATTTTTGATTTGTGTTGCTGATATTATATAGGTACAATATGTTATATATATATATTACAATATGTTAAACTAATGAAATGAAAATAAATTGTGTTTAGTTTTATAGATATTACCTACTTGTGTTCACTTGTTAACAATTATAACATACTTATATTATACTACTATGTACCTTTATTAATTATAATGTAATATTATATACAATAATTTTCAGATGTGTTTATTTGATGAATTTAAAAACATCGAATGTTCAAATACAAAACATCTTATATCAAGTACATCGTTTAAACAATTTGCTGATGATGTGTAAGTATTGTGTTTCATTTATTACCTATATTAATTATACTATTGAGTGTATGTAGTAATATATACTCAATGAGTATACATAAGACATAGATTGCCAACATATTAATAAATGTTTTTTGTTAACCTTACTACAATATTAATTTATATTGTATTTAGCATACATATGCTGGATAGCATAAACAATCACTAAACATTAATAAATCAATAGTACCTAAGCCAATCAATAATTGTCTCTTCAACATGATTTAGTAGCCCATGATTGGTGAATTAAATTTTAGTGAACCATTGAATTAATCATTTTTTTTATGGAACTTAACATTATTGTATTACAAATTAAAACCTATAATTGTAAAATATTAAATATATTTTGATTTTTTTTAATTCAATAGATTTTGTTTGAAATGTTCTTCAGCTTTGAGCACAGACGATACAAAAGTTTACAACACTATAAAAGGTATTATTTAATTTTAAAATGCACTTTTTCATACTTTTTTTTAATAAATATTTAAAAAAAAAAATTTAAACAGTGAACTATTGTGAGTTTGAAGTTCTAAAGTATGAAGACTTATATAATGAAGACAATGCAATTTATGTATGTGTTATTGTTTTGCTACATGCACTATTAAAATGTACTAATGACAAATTCAGAAATCAGTTAATTTATAGAATGAATAATGAAGAGCAAGTGTTACTAGCAAATTTCTTAGAAGCTACACAATCATTATTATTCACCAAACAAAATATTTCTGAAGCTTTACTGTTGATAAGTGATTCTAAGCATACTTGTATTAATGTTTCAGGTAAATCTAAAGAATTTTATTTTCATTTTTAAATTTAACATTACACTTGTTGAAATAAATAATTGTATTTTATACATTTGTATGTAATTGTGTAGAAATATGTTCAAATAACGACACACCAATCAAGTCAAAATCAATGCGCCGAAGCTATTTACAAGAATTTTGTCAGGTATTACTAACTAAACTAATTACCATTTCCTAAAGTATTCCCATACCATTATATATATTATAAATAAATTGAGTTTACAGATGTTCTGTCCCCAAAAATTATTAAGATCATTTGGTCCTCCAGTGTATTTGGATTATAGCACTCTATATTTTGTCTTCCCAGTTTTTTTGGAGGTTGGTTGAGGCTTCAACTACTGAGGTTATTAGCCTGTGGAACTGTAGGGCGATGGAACACTTGAGTGTTTCTTCAGATTTTTTAGTAGGCACCCGTAGGTATCTGTCCTGCCCGATTGGGGTGAATGGCGGCACTTTTTCTCCGGACACCCTGATAATGGCGCTCGCGGCTGGAAATCGAGCCGGCATCAATTGGCCATTAGACCTTAGACCATTCAGCCACTCCGTCCCCCTTCCCAGTTCATAAATCATACAAAATACTGGTTGGTGGTTTATAGTACTTAGTGTTATTGAAACTTACAATAATAAACAATAAATGGTTTTATTTGTATTTAATATATTTTATAATTTACTATTAATAATTATATATAATAATTTGACAACCTTTATTTTAGTCACCAAAATCTCAATCCTTAATAAAAGAAAAACTTATTATCAAACTTACTGAAGACTATAAAAATGAATGTGAAGAAAACTACAAGTTGGCTGAAAATGTTAAATACTTCAAAGATCTAAATACAAAACTAAGTAAATAATTATACTATAAAAATCAAATATAAATACATTTTAAGATTTATATTCAGTTATCTGAAAATATACATTTGCTATAAGTAAAATACTAATAAATTATATTATTTCATTGTAATTTAATAGATTAATAGATGGTTAATTCAAATTTTAGAACTATTTTTTATTAGTATGCATTTTATTATATTTTTTCCATCTATATATATAAAAATGAATGTATGTCAGTGTGTCAGTGTGTCTGTGTGTCCATGTTACCATGGTTACCAAGGTTGCCATGGTTACTAAGGTTACCAAGATTTCATATCAATCTATATATATAAAAATGAATGTATGTCAGTGTGTGTGTGTGTGTCCATATTACCATGGCAACCATATCTGTATATAAAAAACAGTAAGCTGATTGACTGCTATCAACGCACAGCTCAAACCATTGGACGGATCTGGCTGAAATTTGGCATACGGATAGCTACTATAATATAGACGTGCGCTAAGAAAGGATTTGCCAAAATTCGCATTTTAAATAGGTGCTAAAACAGGGACATTGAGATTCACGATAGAAATTGGAAATTTTATTTTTATTTATTTATAGTTGCCATTGGTTACAGTCTACATTAGAAATTAGCATTTATTTATTGGTTGCCATTGGTTATTCGGCCAGATCAGGTACAAGCTTGCATCAAATCGAATTATTGAACAATGCTTACCAGGGTGGCAGAGTTGCACTTACCGCAGAAAATTACACCCAAAAGAAGTTCAACAATCATAATTTTTTTAAGAGTTGCGATTTTTTACGAGCAACCAAATTTATTATATTAATCCACAGTATTACATCAAAATAAACTTGGTATAACTTTGATACTTTAGAGTTAAATCATACACTTCCGTACAAACAGCACGGGGTCCGCGATCTACCGCAGGTAGATTGCCTACCTGATAATGTACTGCTGCGATTCAGAATTTTTATTCAGGGCAACGGGAAAGAAGATAAATTTTGAACACCATACACGTTAATGAATTGAACAAAGTTTGAGTAGGTAGTATTGAGTTGATCCATTTAACGGGCGACGAAGTGCACGGGATCAGCTAGTAATGTATAAAATAAAAAAGGAAATTGTTTTTACATTTTAAAAATTACTGGTTTTTACTTAACATTTTTAATTTAGGTAATAAATTAGAAGACAAAGATAAAATATTACAAATATTGAAAGATGAAATCAAAGAATATTCCAAACCAAACCAGTCTCCCGAATGTTTAAAAGTAGACAGTGATTTAACTATAAAAAAATTAAACAGAGACAAAATAGATTTGGAAATGAATTGCAATGAATTAAAGCAACAAGTAACAGAACTTGATAAAAAACATAAGGACCTTAATGGAAAAGTATGTAAATTATGATTTATTATAAATTAAGTCTGGGCTGTCAGTGGTGGCTTTTTAGTTAAAACATGTTAGACCTGTATACAATTTGCATGTAAACAAAAATCCTGCAATCATTTTATATTGACATTTTTTATTAGGTTATAGCTTGTATTATGCCTAATATATAGTATAAGTACTTATACCCTTATACCATACACAGTGATTCTTTTATCATGAAACACTCATTATTTCAAAAAGTATTAATGTTTTTGAAAATATTTATATATAATATTTATTAAAAAATTGTATTTTAAAATATGTTTATCCTTATTATTTAATGAAAAAAAATATTTTCAAAAACATACTTTTTGAAATAATAAGTGTTTCATCACCTTGTAGTACGTATTTATTCACGTTTTTTAGATAAAAAAAATTCCCCTCACCAAAATAACAATCAGACTTGTCTCAATCAGTCTTGGCTCTGTCAAACAGAACTCGTTAAAGCGGTAAATGGCTTGTCGCTTGTCGGCGTGCGACTTTCACACACGTGAATAAAGCAGCTTTATAACAAATTACAAAATCATGCAACGTGAAGATAACGCTTTCTGTTTGAAAGAGCCTTAAATAATTAACTTTGTAAATTTATAACTAATTTATTAATTTTTTTTTTTTTTATATATAGTTTGAAAAGAAAACTTTAGATTATAATAATCTTATTTTAATGTTTGACAATATTGAAAACGAAAATATGATGTTAAAATCAAACTTAAAATTATTTGAAGAAACCATACAAAAGAAAGACATTGAAATAATTGTAAGTTTAAAAAAAAAAACTTGATGCCATGATTTTGCATGGTTTTTACATAGTCAAACACTATATTATATTCATAAAATATTATGTTTAATAAAAGGTATGACTGTTTTCATTTCAGTCGTTAAAAGATGAACTATGTAATAAATCAATTACAAATAATCCAACAAATATAAGCGGCCAAGAGACCAATGCTATGTCTTCAAATACATTATTTAATGAATTAAGTTGTTTAAAATTAGAAGAAATAACACATGATAAAGAAAAGTACAGACATAAGTACAAATCAATGAAAAAAGACTTATCAAATGTAAGTATTTCAATAAAATATTATTTTTATGATTTCCTTCATACTTAACATTTTTTATAAGCATATAAGCATATTTATAATCTATACATTTGTACAATAAGTAAATTTGATAACATAGGTAATAGTAAAATGACTTGAATGTCTTGAGGGGGGAAAAACCATCCATCAACAGGTACCTCCTATTTAATTTGATGGGTTCATATATATGGAGACCGTTAGGCAAGAGCGTCTCTTGGCCACATTCTTTTTAACCTCCTCGGAGGATTGTTGGGGATGGTTATAGAGGACATGCGGGAAATTAGGGGGTTTTGGTTCGAGTGCAGTTTGGAGTGAAACTTTTTGTAATGACGAGTTGCTATTTTGCTGACTGTTGGAATTTGGAGATCTTTATGTAATGCGTCGTTGGTCATATACCATATGTCTAAGACATATAGACTGGAAAGCTTGTATGGGTCTTATATTGGATGGTTTGGTTTGGCCCCAGATTTAGATACCATATGACCAGAGGGGGGTATTAATCGTCTTGTACATATATTAATATTTTGTTTTTTAAATTCATTGAAGGAGACAATAATGGACGGAGGAGATATAGACGTGTGTTTGATTGTTTTGTGTGTTGGGCCCAGGTAAGTCTTTTATCTAGATGAACTCCGAGGTATTTGGTTACATTTTGGATAGTAATTGGTGAATTATTGAGCAAAAGTTGTGGACATTCGTTTTTTTTTAAAAGAAAAATTTATTTGAACTAATTTGTTTTCGTTTATTTTGATTTTCCATTTTTGAGTCCAATTGGAGATTAGATTTAAGTGGTATTGTATATTGTGGGTGGCTATATTTGGGTCTTTATTTGATGCTAGTATAGCGGTATCGTCTGCATATGTCGCTAGAGTTGTATGGTTTGTTATGGCTTATGGGCATATCTGATGTGTAGATATTGTAGAGTATAGGTGATAGGTCACTTCCCTGGGGTACTCCCGCTTTGATTTTATGGTAGACAGAGTAGGAATTGTTAAATTTAACAGTGAAATATCGGTCTTCTAGATAAGATTTTAGGATGAGGAAATACGGAGCAGGTAGAAACGATTTTAATTTGAACAATAATCCGTCATGCCAGACGCTATCAAATGCTTGCTCGATATCAAGGAATACACCGGGGCAGTGTTCTTTTTTTTCGAATGATGATGATATTTTGTCGGTAGTTCTATGTATTTGGTGGATTGTCGAATGATATGATCGGAATTCAAATTGAGTATTTGGGATGATGTTTTTCCTTTGATAATAGGGGTTATTCTTGTAAGAAGTAATTTTTCGAAAAGTTTCCCTAACGTCGGTAGTAAACTTATCGGGCTGTATGAGGTTACCAAATGCTTTGGTTTTTCTGGCTTAGCAATTAATATTATTGTTGAGAATTTCCATATTGGGGGAATGTATGATAACCTGAGCATTGTGTTGTATATGTGAGTCAAAAGAAGGATGGTTTTATTTGTTAGTTTTTTGAGTATTTTGTTGTTAATTAGCTCATATCCTGGGGTTTTGTTGGTGTGTAGCTTACTAGCTTAGTGATATAATATTTTATTTCTTGTGGTGTGATTGTGGTAGTGACATAGGTAGTGGACTGTTAAGAAAAGTTTGGACATTTTCTATGTGTGTTGTTATATTGTAATTCGTATCCGAGTGGGGTTGGAAAATTTCTGATAGGTGATTGCTGAATAAATTTGCTTTTTCGCTGTCGGCTATGGCTAAAGTGTTGTTATGATTTGTTAAGAGGGGGGGGGGACTACGTCTTTTCTTTTGGTTTTATTTTTTATTGATTTCCATAAGGAACCATTGACTGGTGTAAGTGATGATAAAAATGAGTGAAATTGATTGGCCTTAAAGGTTTGCAGATCTTTTTTCAGTTTATTTGTTAATTTGTTTAATTCATGTTTGTGCTCCGGGTAGTGGGTTTGGTGCCAGATTTTTCTAGCTTGGCATTTTTTTTTAATTAATTCTTTTAAATTCTGTGTTAAACAAGTATATTGGTGCGGTTTTATTGGTATATTCGTAATTGATTGTGAAGAGGTTGAGTCTGTTATTGCTTCTTGGATAGTTGTAATGAGGAATTGTGAAGCACTGTCTATGTCATCGTGAATTTTTAGTCGGATATTTAATGAAATGTATTCGTCTAATTTATTTTGGAATAAATTGAAATTAATTTGTCTAGAGTGTAGAGTGGTTCATCACCTAGGTGGAGTAGAACTGGGGAGTGGTCACTGGACAGTTCTTCAAGGTTTTTTATATTATTATTTAAGTGGTTTGGTAGCGAGGTTATGAAAAAATCAAGTATGTCTGGGTGACGATTTGTGTGGGATGGCCAGTTAGTTGGGGTGCTAGGCCAAATGAAGGATAGGTGATTATTTAAAATTGTATTGCAAAAAGTTTGGCCTCTAGGGTTAGTTGATCTACATCCAAATACGGTATGCTTTGTATTAAAGTCACCGCCAATAATGAATGAATTTTTAAGTGTTCTCAGGAATGTTTGGAGTCGAGGTGGTGTTATTTTTTTATTAGGAGGGCAGTAGACTGATGATATTATAATGGGGATATGGTTAAGTACTATTTGTATATAGGTCTTTTGATATATCGGTAATGCTTAGTGTAATAGCGTAGTGGATATTAAGATCGCGGTACCAGCGTGTGCAGTACCATCGGGGTGATCTGTTTGATGTGTTGTATAGCCTGGTATGTTGAAATGTTTCATTGGTGTGTTTCTGTAATTAGGGCAATATTTATTTTTTTGTCGTAGAGTAAGTGTTGTAGTTCATTTTTATTGTGAGTTAATCCATTTGCGTTCCAGTCTCCAGAGTAATATTGATTTTCCGAATTTAAACGTCTGTGAGATTTGGGAGAGACCTCAGCCCATTCAAAATTGAAAACATCGTTCGTATCAGCCTCGCTTAATTGGCTGTTATTCTTTATCTTTTGTACGGTGTTTTGGTAGATAATTTTAATTGGGGAGATAGTTTTAGATTTAGAGTTCATTTTAATTAGGTGTTGTTACGTAAGTGAAGATACGTGGCTGGGAAGACAGTTTGTTATACGTTATATGGGTTTGAATAATTAAAATACTCACAGAAAGTCTTGTCATGGGGTTTTGGGCCCCAGATGGCAGCGATTTTTTTGTTAAAAAAAAAGCACTTGAATTTCTTGTTCTTTTAACACTTTTCACAACAAAAACGATTAAGTATCTAGTTTGATTTTTAATAAAATAGTAATTATCGAATAAATTAGATGCACACATTATGAGTGCGGGACGCTTGAGTTTATAATTTGTTTATTACTATAGTAGCTACCTTATTAGTATGGTTGTCTCAATATCTAACCTGGTATAGTGTTAGTCACATTAATGTATTAAACACATAACATAATATTTCCTGTGTACTATAACAATATAAATTTAATTCAAGGAGCACTAATGATCAATTAAAAGTATGATAGACACACATGTGGTGTATCCATTTTACAAATGTACAACATACCAAAATAACTTGAATGTAAAAATATTATTTTGGGCATCTAGTAGGATTTTATTATTTTAATTTGTGTACCTAAAATATTACAATGTTCAGAACTAGCATTAAAATTTAAATATCATTAAAAGCTTACAAAAATGTCCTAGTTAATTTTCTACACTGTTCATTGGTAGGAGGTACCCGTCAACAGACAAAAACCTGTTGTCTGGCATATTAACTTTTGACACAGTATAGTATAGCTAAAAATGAAAAAACACAAAATTAGTTCTGCTGAACACAAATTTTCCATGTTACACATTAATGAGACAAAGAAAATTGTAAATACTAGTGATGGGCACTACCGAGTACCGAATAGTTTGGACAATTGATTGTCTATCGATAGTTTCAAAAACTACCGAGTGATTTTTCAATTGAATGAATATTATTATTCATCGATTGTTTTTAAAACCATCGAATGAATTGCTCGATAGTTTTCATTCGTTAGTGGAACAGACTAGTTTTAACTATCGATAGTTTTCATCCGGTAGTAAATAGTAATACACGTCTAGTACCAACTAGTTTTGACTATCGAGTTAAAAAAAAAACAATCAAGTGATTTTTCGGTATTATCGACTGCATTTTCTTGATAATTTTCACTTTTTAAATTTTCATTATGTAAGTAGGCCTAAAAATTAATCAAAACAGGTAATATTTAATCGGATGCCCAATTGTTTCGAATATACCACCTAAAATATTGGAACGGGGATGTTTTACATACAACATACAAAATCCATATAACTTATTAACTTTGGTAATTCTTTTTGTATAAGTTTTTAATTTATTAGTGTTAATTAATACAATCTAATCGTAGGCGAATGGTGAGGTGGTGGGTTGTCTAAGGGGACTCTAGCCCCCCATTTCGTGAATTTTTTTAGTTACATTTTTAGAATATATGTTGTGTACCAGAAATTGGGGGGGCCCCCATATAAATTCATCACCATACGCCTATGAATCTAATTAATCTAAGTATTAAAAACTATGAGAATTGTATTATGAGAAGAAAATCATAATAAATTATAGGATATGTTTTTGGTAGGAAACTCTTATTTGGAAAATAGTAAATACTAAATACTGAGTATTTTAGAATTTTATACGCTATGTATGATTTGTAGTAGATGGACAGTTTATACTTGATATATAACTAAAACACTATAAAAGTACATACAATTTATCCAAACCAGTTGGATATATTTTACTACTTAGAGTTTAAAAAAAAACAATCAAAATAAGTTTTCGATAGTTCGATAATTTTATAAAACAACCGAGTAATTAGATATTTTAAACTATCGAGTACTTCGATAGTTTTCACTCGGTTGTGCCCATCACTAGTAAATACATGCTTCCAATTAAAATTAAAAAACTAATGTACCAATATTTGTTTATAATTTAATAAATACTCTTCATATTTTATTTTATATCAGCCACCAGGCCAATAACAATTAATGAGTTCAGAAAACAATTTTACTGTGGCATTAATAGACTGCCAGTTAATTAACTGATAACAACTGTAATATCATATAATTGTATTTATTTTTTTTTTTTGTATGTTTTTTCTAGACTAAAATTCATGTTAAAGAATTGAATGAGAAAATAATTATATTGGAAAAAAAGTTGGATGATTATGAAACTCATAAGGATGAACTGATAGACAGATTCTCAAACAAAATAAAAGAACTTCAAGAATATCAAAAGAAAAATAATAATTTAGAAACAAAAATTAAGCACTTTAAAGATACTATCAAAGACAATGAAAATCATATTCAATCCCTGTGCTCTAAATTAAATAAAAGAGAAAAGCAAATAGAACTATTGTCTGTTGAAATAGATTCTGTGAAAAAATCAAAAACCATGATTGAACTAATTTTAAGCAAAACTAATACAGAAATTGAAGCAATACATGAAGAACACGATGAAAAAGTAAAAAAATTACAATCAATAATTGATGAATATAAAAATTCAGAAAAACTATCTCATCAAAACATTGTAGATTTAGAAAATAATATGAAAAATGTTCAAGATAATTTAGCAAACAAAGAACACATTATAATTTTTTATGAAGAAAAATGGCTGAAAATTACCAAATTGTTGGAACTCAAGAAGAACAATTGAAAACTATGTACCAAGAAAAACTTATGTTGGAATCCCATTTAAAAAATGTAAAAATTGAAATTGAAACACAACAAAAAAGTTTTAGTGAAAAAAATTGTGAAATGGAAAACTGTTTGGAATATTATCTTGACGAGTTGAAAGATCTCAAGGATGAAAAAACAAAAATTGCAGACATTTTACAATGTAAACAAAATGAAATAGAGCAACAACTGAAACTGATTAACAATCAAAAAGGTATAATTAAAACATTACAATCAGAACAATGTAGCCAACAGCTAATCATAAATGATCTTGATGAAGTTTTGAAACAAAAATCCTCCGAAAATAACAATTTATGTGCGAAAGTACTGGAATCTACATTAGATTTAGATAAGTTAAAAGAACAACTTAATGCAGCATTGGTTGAAAATAATGTAATTAAAACTAATTTAAGGAATGATGAATTTCAAATAAAAACTATGAATGAAGAATTTCAATGTCAGCTTAATGATATGAAAAATATATTAGCAAATCAAAATAATCAGTGTTTAATAAGGGTTGAGAAATTACAAGACACTTTAGAGAAAAAGCAGAATGATTTTAACGAACAACTTATGACGTGTAATAAGCTAACAGAAACAATTTCTCAGTTACATTTGGAAAAATATGAACTAGAAGAGAAATTAATATCAAGTGGTCAAGAGTTAAATCAAAAACAAATACAATTTGAACAAACCACTGAAGAAAATAATAAATTGAAAGAAACAGTTGATTATACTGAAAATGAATTTATTAACTTGCAACAAGAATTAAAAGACTTGAAGAACATTATATTACAAAAAGAAGAAGAAATCAAATTATTCAAAGTTCATATATCAGAATGTTCGCTTTCTAAAGAAAGCTTACAGAAACAAATTATTGAAGTACAACAAATGTTGAACAACAAACATATTGAGTTTGAAAATCAAATTCACTGTTGTAATGAGCAGAAAGATACTATTATTAAATTAAATGATGAAAAAGAGTGTCTTAGCAATAAAATAAAAAACCTTGAACAAACCACTGAAGAAAATAATAAATTGAAAGAAACAGTTAATTATACTGAAAATGAATGTATTAACTTGCAACAAGAATTAAAAGACTTGAAGAACATTATATTACAAAAAGAAGAAGAAATCAAATTATTCAAAGTTCATATATCAGAATGTTCGGTTTCTAAAGAAAGCTTACAGAAACAAATTATTGAAGTACAACAAATGTTAGACAACAAACATATTGAGTTGGAAAATCAAATTCACTGTTGTAATGAGCAGAAAGACACTATTATTAAATTAAATGATGAAAAAGAGTGTCTTAGCAATAAAATAAAAGACCTTGAACAAACCACTGAAGAAAATAATAAATTGAAAGAAACAGTTAATTATACTGAAAATGAATGTATTAACTTTAAATATTTTTTGACCATCAAAAATAGTAATTTCTAACTTATATTATATAAAATTTCAATCTTTAGTCATTATTCATTATAGTTAGAAACCAGAATTATATAGGTTTGCATATTCAAAGTGAGCGATTGCACAACCATGAGGATTTGAAATATGAGTGTAAATCAAACATTTCTATTTCGTGGAACAATTTTTTTTTTCATATTTGAAGGGTTAAGGTATACTTTGTCATTAATGCATACAATTTGAATACTTTATCTAAATAAATAAGTATTCCTATTTACTATAAAGACAAATTAATATGTCAAACAAAAATTAGTTTTAAATTATCTCTGAAAAATTTATAATAATCAAAAATAATATTTCAAATATCTATGCTACTAATGGCTAAAGAAAAAAAAAATAATTAGATAGCTACCAAGGTTTATGATGGACCTTATCTTTATCTGGAACTGGTTTACTTGTCTTGTTATCAATGTGTATTAATTTGATGCACATTTTTTAATATCACTAGATGCCATATTTTGAAAAATTTTGTCATTTTTATCTTGCATGCTTATGCATGCATATCATGTTTTTCACATTTTTAGTCCAAACAATTTCGTCCCTAGTAAAAGCAAATTCCTAAGAGATTATGAAAACTGAAATCTTTTTACAAATTGAATAAAAAATAATTTTAGTTGCATAACTTTAAATTTTAACTAATCTTTATTTGGTTTCGGTTTGCATAATATGTTAAATTTATATTAGAAAATAAAATAATAAATATGCTTTGCTACTCTAATTCATTAATACTTCTGTTGAACAAAATTAATTTAATATATAAGATATTCATAAATTTAAATACATTGTTAGTTGTTACTAGAAATAATGCTTGGATTAATAATGTGGGTTTTACTGTTACTTAATTTGCCTTTATTAAGTTTGTAATTAAATAATATACTTTGTCTCGTGTCAACCATTTCACGCAACATGTACGAGATCCAAATTATGGAATACACTATAATATGTAGTCGATTGTCATCAAAAATTTTAATCCAAAAAAAAATTGATAATTTTTTTTTTTTTTATATAATATTTATAAAATATTGTTTATTTTGTGAAAATGTACAATCTGTACAATAAGTAAATGTGAATGAATGAGGCGGTGAGAAAAAGACAAGGAATAGTAGTTTCACATTAGAAATTCCTGTGATAAAATTTGATCTAGGAAGTTTTTATAAAAATGTACTTAATATTTATTTTGATATAACTATAATTAATTCATCATTCAAACAATTCATTTGTTGTTATAATTCAATTGTTATTTTTGTTGATTGCGTTTAAATTTAATGATTTCCTAATATTATTTAAAGAATCTCCCTGTACAAACATTTAAATACAATTTATCATTTTTTTTAATGCATATTTTATTTAAGTAGGTAACTTTAACTATTTATTCTTTGGTTGCTCTGGTTCAATTTATAGTTTTACAAAAAGAAAAAAAAAATTAATTTTTACTTGTTTAATTTCTATTCAATATATGAATGGAGCTTGATTATCATTATTCCTACATAATCTATATTATATTTGATCAGTTTTTCCTCTTGTAATTGAAGCATATTTATTTTAATTTCTATTTTCACAAAAAAAATATTTAAATATACTTTTGATAAAAACATGATATAGTATGCTTCAAAGTAAAACATTGACATGTTCCACAAACTTTTCAATTACTGTCTGATAATAATTACAGATATTAACTGTAACTTAGTGTTATTATAATATAATTTACAACTCCAATTATAATAAACCAATTGAGTAAATTAATGGACGAACAGCATATCCTATATGGCTCTATTAAAAGTCAATAAAGATTATTATGCATATCTATTATGTAATTAGGGATGGGCCGATTCCTCTTTTTACCGATATCTGATACTCCGATATATGCAACCGATAAAAAATCGATACCAGATATATTTGAAAAACAACATTTTCAGCATAAACAATGAACCGATATTAAAAGATCACCTATACTATCAACCGAAATACTATCATCATTTTACATTTAACTATTACAATTAATAATCAATGCTATTATGCTGATAGATATGGTTTTTTGTTTTTTTGGTATCGGTTTAAATAAAAAACCGATACCGTCAATATTGGCCGATATCGAGTATCGGTTTTAGTATCGGCCCATCCCTAATTATATTATAAATAATAGGTACTAAAAATCTACCAAATAAGGAGGTATATTATATAAAATAGATTTTTGGGGACAGAGTCGCTGAGCTGGCTATGCCTTCGGTTCCGACGCCAGTTTGAATCTCGACCATGGGTGGCTCCTCTCTCTGGCAGGCAACTATTTAGAAAGAGAGCCGCCATCCACCGACCGGGCATGTAGTTCTACAGGTGCCCAATTTGAAATTCTGCCAAAATCCAAAAACTCGTGTTCGCCCAACCCCCCTCCACAGTTGAAAAACCAACACTGGCCTGACTTGCCGCGGGTTAATCAATAAAAAAAAAATAGCTTTATTTCCGCGTCAACTTTGAGACTTGATGCAGCAGTATCAGTAAATAATATTATGATTTGTAATATTTAATATTTATACTTAACTTTCTATAGCAACATTATTATCGACTCAATATAACCATGCACAATTTTAAAATGATAATTCTGTACATTTATTTTAAAAATAAAATCTGTCTTATAGAGTTTGTCAAAATAGGGACTACCTACATCATATTAAGAAAAAAAATGTAGATCATCTGACCACCCAACCTCTTAGTCCCACCACTAGTCATAGATATTTAAAAATATTATTATTTTCTTATTAGGTAAAATATTTCCAAAAGAAGAAGATGAGGAAGGTGAAATGTTCAACCACTCATGCCTTGCCGATCTAAAAGAAGGGAAAGTAAGACTCAATGATAATAAAAAACAATATAATGAAAGACTGTCAGAACTACAAGCCCGCAACTCACTTTGTCCACCACATTTAAGAAGTTGTTATGCTGCAGAAACTAATTTTTTGCCAAATACCTCATTAGTTACAGAAGAAGATATTAAGGTGATTTGTTATTATTTATTTGTTACAACCAATCATAATTGTATAATCAATTAAATCTAAACCCTATATTATAGACAACCGCTAATTATAGTGATTATGAGACTGAAAACCTTATCCCGAATGATCGTACCAAGAAAAAAGATAGAAATCAGCTATTTATATATATATATATTACTTGATACATATTTAATTGTTTTACTAAATATTATATTTATTTTCAGACATCATATAAGAAACCAGGACCACCAACTCCAAGCAAAAATGGAGGTCGTGTTTCTTTATCGGTATGTGTTTTATTATGATTTTACAAATAAATATTTCTTAATTTGTAAAATTTAAACACCTTAATATTTTTTAAGCATCTACAAATTTATCCCACGTTATAATTGTATATAATATATATTATACAATTACATACATTTTTACATTTTTTTTATTTTTTTTTTTGTTTTGAAAATTTACAATCTGTAATTAATAAAACACAGTAAGCAAATTTGATAATATGTACAACAAAACAATA